CTTACACTTAAGATGTCGTTTAGGGGGAGGTCTTCTGTCTCTCAAATACCGCAGTGGAGCTTGGGTGTTGCGACAAGGATCAGCCTACTCGGTGATGTCAACTTGTCCCACAATCCAAGACAACTTTTGAAATATTGTGATTCTCAGCAAATGTAGCAACCTTTTGCGGTGTTACTGCAGACCTTTTGACTTCCGTGTCCATCACTTGAAAAGGGCACGTCTTCAGCTAACCTTGCTGCCTAGTCATGGGTGGAGAAGCTCAGTGTGGCAGCGGGTTTATATCAAGTTGCCCAATTATGATGTCACAAATAGGCAACTTTCAGAACGACTCCCTTACATTTTTGGAAATTTAAGACACTGCTATTTGTAAACAAGTCTTTAAAATCTCTACTTTTCGTCACAGTCTCCTTGAAGTGAAAACTTTGGTGACTCGACCTAGAAACTCCCAGTTGGTGATTCATTGTGTGTGTGTGTGTGTGTGTGTGTGAGTGTGTGTGTGTGTGTGTGTGTGTGTGTGTGTGTGTGTGTGTGTGTGTGTGTGTGTGTGATGTGACAGACCTTTTTGCCTTGTCAGCACTTTAGGACTGTGTGTTTGTGCTTGCTTTGTTCCTCTGTGTGTGACTATTTTTATTTATTTTTTTTTGCATAATCCCTTTGCGGACCTGTCCAGTACAAAGCTGTCCATTTCCAAGTAAAAATAAAAAAAATAAAACCTTGCACAAAAAAATAGAAGATATTGTTGGTTTAAAAAAAGTTGCACTTTTGGAGGAAATAAGCCCGATGAGTTCTCTTAAGCTCACTATAGTCGGACTTCTTCGAACGAGATTGTCCACTATTTAGTTTATAATCGTAAATGTATGATTAGCCTGTTTTGAGGGGGTGGGCCAGTCACATGCAGGAGACGACACACACACACACACGCACGCACACACACACACACACACACACACACACACACACACACACACACACACTCAGGATACTGCTGGGCCAAAGGCGAGTTTTGAATTTTGTGACAAGATGACTCGAGAAGAAACTTGAATTCATTCCCAGCTGTGGGGGTTTATATTCATCAGCTGGAATTCAAACATTTACAGCCGCCAATGTTATACTTGCCGAGTACGTTTTTCAAGGACTAGGCATGGAAGATCTTTTTTAAGTCTAATCCTTAGGGTATTGAAAGATCCAATTAAAAAAAAAACACACACACACACACACACACACACACACTGCCACACACACACACACACACACACAATGAATCACCAACTGGGAGTTTCTAGGTCGAGTCACCAAAGTTTTCACTTCAAGGTGCGCGCGCACGCACGCGTCATCACTAACGAAAGCATGACAACGAACATTTAATCGAGCGTGCTGTTAATTAAAATAGCGTCCCTGGGTGTGTCTTTGCTGGCAAATGTAGGTCAGTGTCAGAGGCATTGTTTCGTGGCTTATTGGGACCCTCGTTAGCGGGCTTGTGTTGCAGCCGCTGCTTCCCGAGCCAATGGCCTCATTTGGGGCGGGAGACCCCCGGGGGAGTTTGCTCGGCGTGCATCTC